CYTTTYMAAARSMMTGASTTAGCATGATCAAGAAMAATTTCCAGAAAAAGAATCACAACCTGCGATTATTTAGATTAGAATCCGCGGTTATTATCAACATGCATTCCTTTTGGTATCTTTTAATTGGTGTATTTTCTTGAATGGTCATATTTCTATCAAGCTTCGAAAATGTTGAAATYGTTAAAGGACTATTTTGCAGAAAGTGTTTCACTACTCTACTGGATTGATTTAGAATGCCTGGGTGAAAAAAGCGTGAAAATGGAATAGAGTTGTACATACAATGTTGATTATTTATTAACCATTTTTTTCTACATTATAGTGATAATCTTTTGTTTCTCACAGTTTAATATCTTCATACTGGTGAAAATCATAATGCGTATCAAAAAATCACAGCGACTACGGACCAATCGAACTCCTGACCATATCAAATCGGCTGTTCGAGCTGCTATTGTTACTATGCCTTTACTTGGAGTCACATGGGTGTTTGGTTTAATGACGTTCCATACTGACCTGACTGCTATCAAATATATCTTTACAATATTTAACTCTTTTCAAGGASTGTTCATTTTTGTATTCCACTGCTTGCTTGATCGRCAGGTAAATACTACGTAAATCGAAACAATCAATGAAAAKAAGTCATTGACACAATAAAGAATGCGCGACCATCATTCTGGATATTCAATAATGTTTTTTTTACTAATTTAATTTCATATTTAAAAGATTGAGACAACCTGTACAACCCATCATCATTCTTCATTTAGTGAAAAATACTGACATGCTCCCTGGCATATCTACAATAATAATAGGCGACGCTATTTTGTGCAATGGTGGGAGTTGCCGTCATCGCACTTTGTCCGTTAAAACAGCTCTTTAATGCTTTTTCTTTCCAAAAGAAAACGGCTTTTATGGATTTTGTTTTTGGGAGGAGGGGCCAGAGTCTGCAAAACGAACGAGGACTGCAACTCCCATCATGCTGCTTTGTTGCACAAAATGGCGTCGCTGCACATTGCCTATGAATGAAGCACCTCTACATTACACCTTTATTTATGGGAAATAATTTTAAACGAATATTACATAACTTATCATATTGCAGAATCATACATTAACTAAAATACAGATGAAACCGTTTAGGTTTAGCCTCTATCTTTATCTTTTATCTCTCAGTATCGTTTCTTGGACTGACTATAACATGGTTTACAGGTACGAAAGGCAATAAAACTGTCCAGAATAAGAAGAAAACAACGGAAAAAGACTGCACCCATTCCCACCATTGAAGTAAAACCATGCGTGATATATAAGAAAAAAGGTAAAGCAATATCACCCCAATAGAAAATAGAATTCAATTTCGTTGTGTTTTTGTTTACAAATTAAATAAATGGTCTGTCCATCCTTTTTGACGTTACATAGTAACCTCGTCTCTTCTTGCATATCATCAGGCGAAATGTGGCTCTGCAGTTCTTTGCGATGCGGCACAATATGGCATTATTCTTGGTGCACTGTATAATATAACCTTTGTATTTTTTACAGAATTAAACCGTATCGGTGAAAGAAGAAAAGCGTGTATCGACAACGCTATAATAGATGTCTAGATTGTATTGTACATTTGATAGAAAAATACCAATAAACTACTGTTGTCTAAAACAAGCMATCTCACTCCAGTAATTTGCATAATATTACACATTTGCATATCTACGGTTCTGTTGCTATTTTCTGTTGAAAATAGTTACTGCTTACTCACTCTAATAAACTTATTTGAAATAAATCATAAAAACTTTAAAATTACTTATTAGACATTCTTATCAATCACTTTACCGGTTATTTACACAAATGTTAACTTAGTAGTTAAGATAATATACCGGGATCACATTATTTTTCATGAAATGTACAAGAAAGCACGAACACATTATTGATTGGTTAAAATGTGATAAAACTTTTTATCATATAATTATCTATGAAATACCTATATTTCTCCATTTCGTAAATTTGATATCTTCACTAGTGAAAATAACATGTTATTTTCACTAGTGAAAATATCACATTCGAGGTTTCTCTATATAGTGGAAGTAAGAAAAAAGGTATTTTACGACATAATTTGCGTTCATATCCAATTATATGATAAGCAGAATATTACATGGTCGCTACGCTCACTCGTGAGAGATCTTTTCAACACTAGAAGATMAACTCCGTATCTCCGCGCGCCCATGYAATATCCTCTATATTTCCCTACWATATATTTTGTTTCAGTTCTCTGTTAGCAACACTTGGGGATTGTTGAAAGAAAAAGAGAAATTCGTCATTTTTTATATAAAAAAATGACACTAGTGATTTATGCAACACTTATCTGTTTATTTATTTTCCAATACGTCCGCCCCTCAACAGAGGATTATTAGCCGGTTATTATATTATTATTGCTTGTGTGCCGGCTATCGTTCTTCGTATTTGAAGTCGCGKCGCTTTGTACAGCGTGTATTCAGTTGTGACAAGCTACAAACATRACATTCATGTCATSATCATGACATAAAAAAATCTAAAACTTCCATATGGCGCATCTTATCGGAATCAAAGGGAAAAGGAGATATGATATTGAATTGACATGATGGAACCAGCAAAATCAATCACTAAAGATTTTGGATTGATGATGTGTAATTTACAGAACTGCAAGCAATATACTTGAACCAAAATTTTAGCAATGCTTTTCTTTTTTTATTGAAATATGAAGGATTCTTAATTAAAGCACTGCCATAAGAAGTGATGTGCAGTAACACTGTCGACTCGAATAACTAAAAAATACGCCATAACACGAATTTACAGAATGGAAATATTTTCAATATTCGCCAAGTGTCGCCGAAAATTCGTTCCCGCCATATTGGACATGCTAATATGGAAAATAATCTTGACAGTGTCTGTTTGTCTTCAGTGCACCAAAGTCATCACACAATTTGAGCAAATGATATTGTTGTTAGGTTAATAAAATAAGTACCTTCTGGGGGAAAACTCCCAGTAGAGTGGTATTTTTGCCATGCGCACTCTCGTGTACTGCACTTAATTACTCTTCATATTGCACGTTTTTCTTTACCTTCTGAGTGTCAATCACACGTCGTTATTGCACTTTTGAGTATTACACTGCACGAGTTAATGGAATTAACAAAATTAGAGTAAGAGGTAATTACATGGCAAAGAATCTACTCAATGATTGACGTAATTTGCATATATCACGTGATTCCTTAAAATTTCTTTCACAGCCTTTATTGGATATAAGTTTAAAATCGACAAAATATTTGATATTCGATGCTTTTGGAACATGGATTGATCGGACATTCCTTGAGGGAGTTTAAATCATGACTTTATTGTTGACACTKACGTTTCAAATGGACAGCCTTTAACGTGGTTGGTGCAGTTCCCAAGGTCCATATTCTACCTAACTGACGTCACAAGTGACGCTGATTGAATAGCAGTCAGGCCCTTATACAAAATAACTAGGAACTAACAAACTGCGATCAGCCTTTAAAATTGAAGGAAATCTCAATRCTATGGTTCTYCRAACTCTTCAATGTGTTTGGATAATGGTGATAGCTYACGGCACAGGCACRGGATCKTATGGTAAGACTAATTTACGACCGATGGCTAAAATAATTTYTGTTCAGCAACTGCATAAGTTGCATACAGAGTATCATTTTTGTGATAGCCTAACGTTATACACAACTCAAATTCCTTATTAAACTGTCTTTTACATATCTGAAATATTTCCAAAAAGCATAAGAAGCTGTTTTAGAAACATCATTTCATGTTGCTTTGAAAGACTTAATATTGCTTTTTTACTGAAGACACGAGTTAGTTGAATTTAGATAATCCACTTGAATTTACCGTTTTGCCAACAAAACAAACATAGAACTTGTAATGTTTTAAAAGTAAAATCGTTTCAAGTAGATATCAATGGATTATTTTATTTTCTGGTCAAATYAGTAAAATTCTCAATTTATGAATATTTTTGAAAACATCTACACCATTGTTCATGATTCCATTGGCTTGCAAATAGAAAAAAAAACTAATCGATGTAAATATACTTTATCTGGTGGAGTACGTTTTGAATTTTCAAATCTGCTGCCAAACCCATTTCAATCTGATTTTTCATCGCTGATAATGAAATGATTTGATTTGATTGCTGATATTGTCATGGTAGAAAGAGCTTCTAATCTCATATTTTGTTTTTAAGTCATTGTTGTCAGACTACAGAGATGGTGATTTATCCTGATATCAAGCCAATTATTCCCTTTGAACGACAGTGTTTGACGATTCCTTAAATATCAATAAGAAAATGTTGCGCAGATTTCAAAGTTTTTACGAAGAGCAACAAAACAGTCTGTCTTYTTGTCTTAGATTGTAYGCTTTCGTTTTTGCTTATTCTTCATTATGAAAGTATAAATAAAGATACACAAGAATAGGGACTGATTCACTGATTACTAACAACAACAGCTACGAAAATCCTTTTAGAAAGGAATCTTTTACTTCACGAATCATAACAAGTTCAATATATGACGCACAACAGCCAGAAACTGAACTGAAAGGAACTCAAATCTGTAAAAGAAATGAAAAAAACCTCAAATCATTCTAATGGCATGATTTTCTATGTTATAGACATCACAAAAGRTAATTAAATAGGGAGACTACACGCACAGATTTAGGCTTTTTCTGTTATTTTATTTGTTTATCGAAAGACCTTTGATTAGTGACGAACTCCTTTGATATTGGACTACTTGATAAAAAACAAAGGGTATAATTCAAATATTMTTCTAAAAGTTTCCGTTTTACYGAAATCTTGAAACGTTCTGGTGTAAACTCATTTGAAAAGTATCGATATAAAACTAACTATCAAGCTAACGATCACATATCGTGTTTAATTTTTAACTCTTCAAAAAAGTCGTGTGCTTTTTAGATCTATTACACGTCTGTTGCTCATCACTACGATAAGTATGTCATCTTGATAAATGGAGATGAGGAAATGGCCCTTCAACAAACTACAAACATCTTTAAGTGTTTGTCAAACAGAAAGAGCCTCTTAAAACATATTAGAAGCTATAAATAAAAAAGGATGATGCCAAGAGCTTTTGTCATTATACTATAAATATAATATTGTGATTTACTTTCACGATTGGTTATGGTGTCGGAACTATCATCCAGRAATAATATTAATGAAATTCTCAAAACTGAACTACCGACATTCAACAACATCTTGTATATTCTAAATCCATTATTTCAAATTGTTTGAAATTTGGTTTTGGAGGTTAATATACAGCACTACAAACTTATAGTTGACATTCGACAGCATATGGACACGATGGATAACTTTGCTTATAAGGTTGAACATGTCATTTCAATCGCCAAAAGGAAAAAATAAAGGAAAAGGAAACAAGGTAAATACCCACTATTCCCTGTACTGCCTAACAAGAAAGAAACTGAATATACTCTCTTATAAGGATTAGTGTCATTAATCAACACTCTGTAAGAATGAGAAACATCGTTTAGCAAAAGGACTAAMGTCCGAAATGTCAGTAAGTTAGTTATAACAAAAAATCTAAACTGAAGAGAAAAACAAASCAAAGAGTGCAAGCTCATTAAAAACTGACCGTGGGGTTGATAGCCTTGGAAACTCAGTGATTTATCAACCTGTGTCAGCACTGTAGTTCAGTAAGGTAGAGACTTGATTAACAGTGACAGTAACTCATCAATACCAATTTCCGCTATGCTTAYTTTATAATCAACAAAATATCTGCCAAATTGAACAAAGTAGAGGGAAAATGTGTGTGTCCTTAACATTAAACGATATTATTTGATTATATGTGGTTATTTTTGCCGTATATATAATTATTTTATTAGTTGATACTCAGCAATCTAATACTTAAGATATTGGCGAGCTTAAGTCAGTGCAARAATCTTTGAATGGTGAAGAAGTCCATTCAGTGTAAATAAGCTATAAATGCTGAATATTTGTTTGAAGATGYCAGCTGCAGCTTTCGACAAAAATATTCGAAAATTTAAATTATCATTGCGCCTTTATTTAGTAATTAATTTTTTTATCTTTGCGTGCATMCCATCTTTGGAGAGAGGAGTCGAGTTATATACAAAAAGTTCATCAAGAGCTKTGGTTTCACTACCTAACATCATGGGATCTCTTAAAGTGCTGAAAGTAAAACGAAATTGCATGTAATAGACATTTGTGTAGCATATGTGTAGAACGATTTTATTGAGTAACCATGCATTTATCTTGACAAAAAACTCACTATTTCAAGTCGTGAGCGAAGTGTTACTGTGTACATTGCACACTGCGAATTGCGAAAGAAAATCGAGTTTTTCTCCTATAATTTTACATATATCGTTAAAAACTTACGTATCCAGATTGTACAACTTCCTCCTTATAATATCCCGTAAAACGGCGTAAAAAACGTCTATATTCACTGAAGTAGGTGTCGCTTTGTTTGCCCCTTGGCAATCCATGCATGCATTGCGCCTGGGGAGGGATCAAATTACTGGAAACTCATTCATTACTGGAGATTCTATGGCGAGGAAGGGCACAATGGGTGACTAGCATACGAACTACATAACGAAGCCACGTAGTGTGAATAAAATGTGGCTAGGCACTAGCGAAA